CATAATGAGTTCTAGGATAATCAAAGCTACATAGTAAGATCCTGTCTCAAAAAATAAGGAGGAGGGGCTGGAGAGATGGCTCAGCTGTTAAGAGCAATGGCTGCTCTTCCAGAGGACCTGGGTTCAATTCCCAGCACCCACATGGCAGCTTACAACTGTCTGTAGCTCTGGTTTCAGGGGATCTGACGCCTTCATACCAATGTACATAAAATAAAGTTAAATAGATTGCTTTTTTAAAAAATAAGGAGGAATAAGGAGGAAAGGGAGGAGAGGAAGAGGAGACTCTGAAGTAATGTATGAACTTGAGTTGGTAATGAACTTCTAGTTCATTAACTTCCATAAATGGACCCATGCAAGGTATTAAACAGGGAAAACCAAGAATAGGATGAAAAGTTACATGGACTTCTGTTCTATCCAATCAGTACTCTATACTTAAATTTGCTTCAGTCCATTTGGTATTGCTCTAACAGAATTACTGAAGCTGAGTAATTTGTAAGGAACAGAAATTTATTTCTTAGGAGTTTAGGGGTAGAATGCTCATTTCAGGAACATGTATAATAAGATTGTAACAATACAGAGATTGGAGCCCAGGCTGGCCCAGAACCCACTATGTAGACCAAGCTGGCCTGAAACTACAGAGATCTGCCTGCCTCTGCCTCCCAAATGCTGGAACTAAGGGTGTACACCACCACACCTGGCAAATAAGTGTGTGTGTGTGTGTGTGTGTGTGTGCTTGCGCGTGTGTGCGAGAAAGAGAGAGAGAGGCCCACAGAGGCCAGAAGAGGGTATCAGGTCCCCTGTAACTGGAGCTACAGGTGGTTGTGAGCTCTGAGTGGGAACAGCAGGGAGAATATCTAACTGCTGGCGCATTCCTACCTGCTGGGCTCTCAGAAACTTTTTTAAAGATTTATTTTATTTATTTATTTACTTATTTTATATATACAGTGTTCTGCCTACATACCAGAAGAGGGCACCAGATTGAATTGTAGATGGTTGTGAGCCACCATGTGGTTGCTGGGAATTGAACTCAGGACCTCTGGAAGAGCACTCAGTGCTCTTAACCTCTGAGCCATCTCTCCAGCCCCCTCAGAAACTTTTTTAAAACCTCTCTTCTTCTGCCTTCTGCCGACAATAGCTTTTTAAAAAAGATTTATTTATTTATTTATTATATACACAACATTCTGCCTCTGCTGAGCCTTCAGTACTTCTTTTTTTTTTAACAAGTCAACTGGTATAGGCTCTCAGTCCCTTATTTTTTTTTTTTTTACCTTTCCTATTCTGCCTTCTGGCTATAATAGAATTCTCTTTTTTAAAAAAAATATGTATTTATTCTGTATACAACATTCTGCCTCCATGCATGCCTGCACGCCAGAAGAGGGCACCAGATCTCATTATAGATGGCTGTGAGCCACCATGTGGTTTCTGGGAATTGAACTGAGGTCCTCTGGAGGAGTAGTCAGTGCTCTAACCTTTGATCCATCTCTCCAGCCCTATAATAATAGCTTTCTTTAGAAGTCATACTAGACTCTGAGGAAGATGAATGAACCAGAAGGAGAATAAAGCTGGGTGGAAGCCAGGCGTTGGTGGTGCACACCTTTAATCCCAGCACTCGGGAGGCAGAGGCAGGTGGATCTCTGTGAGTTCGAGACCAGCCTGGTCTACAGAGCGAGTTCCAGGACAGCCTCCAAAGCCACAGAGAAACCTTGTCTCGAAAAAAAACAAAAACAAAAAACAAAACAAAAAAGCTGGGTGGAGCCTGAATCCATGAATAGAGTTTAGAGTACTAACATTGTATCAGCCTGGTCCATCCTACCCTGGCTTTTACCTCCAAGGCAAGGACTGCTTTCTCTTATGATAGGAGGGGCTTTCTTCTGCTGTAGTATGCATTACTGTGCCTGGGATGAATGTATTATGTATATTTTAAACTGCAAAACTCTCAGGAGCTAGTGTTCCCAGAATGCTGAAAGTGTGATGTAATTAACACCGTTTGGGAGCACTGCTCCGTTTATGAATACAGCTCCCTCTCCTGGATGGGCAGGCTTCAAGGCAGTAGTTCTCAACCTGTGGGCCAAAACCCTTTGTGGGTCGGGGGAGCATCAAACAACCCTTTCACAGGGGTTACCTAAGACCATAAGAAAATACAAATATTTACATTATGGTTCATAATGGTAGCAAAATCATAGTTATGAAGTAGCAATGAAAATAATTTTATGGTTGGGGTTACCACAACATGAGGAGCTAATTAAAGGGTTGCAGCATTAGGAAGGTTGAGAACCACTACTCTAAGAGATGTGTCTTCCCAGATTCCTCACTGAAAAAGCTTCAGATATTGATGGTGGCAACTTGCTTGATGCCATACCCTTTCCTGATAGAGTTCAAACATCAATAAATGATATGAAAGAGAATGCTGGGCATGGTGGCACATGTTTGTAGTCCCAGCCCTAGGGAAGCTGAGGCAGAGGTTGTGCAATTGAGGAACTGTTTTAGCATAGAAAACAACAAAAGATGAAACTGAAATGGCAAAGACCTGTCATGACTTGACTCATCAGTGACTTGAGCAACTATGTCAAATAAGTTGAGAGTTTCAAGCTATCATATATCTCTGTGGTTATAATGTAACAGCATTAGACACTACATGCTGTGAGATATAGTCTACAATACTGAGCAGACCAGATGGTTCAGTGAGTAAAGACACATGCAACCAAACCTCAAGGTCAGAGTTCAATCACTGGGTCCCACACTGGGTCCCACACTGTAGAAGGAAATGATTCACTAAAGTTGTCCTCTAAATTCTGTATGTGTAGCAAGGCATGTAGTAATACGTGCACACTCAAACACATGCACATACATACACTAAATATATGTAATAAAAATGTTTAAAAATCAACAATATGGGGCTGGAGAGAAGGCTCAGAGGTTAAGAGCACTGGCTGCTCTTCCAGAGGATCTGAGTTTAATTCCCAGCAACCACCTGGAAGCTCACAACTATCTACAATGAGGCCTGGTGCCCTCTTCTGACATGCAGGCAGACATGCAGGCAAAACACTGTATACATAAAAGATAATTAAACAATTAAAAAAAACAACAATATTGGAGCTGGGCAGTGGTGGGGGGTGGGATAGCTAGTGGCTCTCTCTATAGCTCAGGCTGGACTAAAACTCTATCTAATGCAGACTGACCTTGAACTCACCACAGCCATCTTTCTTCAACATCTTGAGTACTAGGATTACCAGTATAAGCCACCAAACCTGGTTGATCATTATTAATATTACAATTATTATTGTTGTTGTTATTATTATTATTGAGACACGGTCTCATGTATCCTAAGATGACCTTGAATGCTTCTTGCCTTTACCTTCTGAGTTCTGGAATTAACAAGCCTGCTCTAGCATGCTTTATGTGGTGCTAAGGGCTAGGCAGGCACTCTGCCAAAGAGAACAATATCCACAGACCTCATTACTATTCTTTTTTTTTTTTTAAGATTTTTTTAATTATTTATTATGTATACAGTGTTCTACCTGCAGGCCAGAAGAGGGCACCAAACCTCATTACAGATGGTTGTGAGCCACCATGTAGTTGCTGGGAATTGAACTCAGGATCTGTGGAAGAGCAGTCAGTGCTCTTAACCACTGAACCATCTCTCCAGCCCTCATTACTACTCTTTTAACAACTTTTTGGATCCATCTGAGAAGACTGCCCTCACTCTGTACACACTTTATAGTGACATATATGGGCCAAATGAAGTCTTTCTCTATCATGATCCTGAGTCATTTCCCTCCACCCCCAAACCCTTCTTTTTGTTGCTGGTGGTGTTAGTTTTTCAAAACAAGGGTTTTCTACGTGGTCCTGGCTGTCCTGGAACTTACTCTGTAGACCAGGCTGGTCTTGAACTCGGAGAGATCTGTCTGCCTCTGCCTCCCAAGTGCTGGGATCAAAGGTGTGCACCCCAACTGTGACCCACCCCCATCCCCCAAGCCCTTTTTAAGCAATCCTGGAAACTGAAGTTTAAGATAATTAAGTAATTTGCTTCAAGTCATACATTAAGCCATTCAAAATGGAGAAATCTACATTAAAAGATGTCTCTTTCCAACCCTGGATGGTGGTGGTGCATGCTTGTAATTCCAGCACTGGGAAGGGAGAGGCAAGCAGATCTCTCTGAGTTTGAAGCCAGCCTGGTTTACAAAGCCAGTTTTAGGACAACCAGAGCTGTTACTCAGAGAAATCCTGTATAGGAAATTACATTAAATAATTTTGTCAATATATTAGTAACCAAGAAAATGCCACACAGACATGCACACAGGTCAAACTGATTGAGGAAATTCTTCAATAGAGGTTCCCTCTTCCCAGGTGCCTGTAGGTTGTGCTAAGCTAACAATAAGAACTAACCTGAACATATTAATCTCACAGATGAAAGGAGAAAGACCACCAACCCAAATCATCATGACCAAATTAATCAAAGCAAGCTTTTTTTATTCGTGTACACTGGCTGGCTGTCCCTAAAATCGGGGTTCAAGAGATCAGCATTGGACATGGGAAAGATAAATGTTTTTATAGTTCAGAAGCGGGGGGTTTCCACATGGGGGGCTTCGAAGGCAAACAGATGGGGTTACAGAAGCACACCATAATCATAACCAGTTGATTATTATCAACTTTCTGAAACAACAACAAAAGATGCCACCTTCCCCTAAGGATGCTGCTTTTCACTCACTCATTTAACAAATCTTGAAGCACCTACCATCTATGTGAAGGAATGTACATAATCATATAATGACAATTATTTATCGAATACTTCCTATATAAGACTGTATCAGTGAATATTCAACATAAGTCAATAATGAAAGTAACCTAGAAATCTCTGCCCCATTTTAAGGATGACAAAAAGGCAGTGCAAGGTAAAAGACACACCGAGTTCTACCTTCATAGGGATTACGGCCGATTAGTATTATTATACAGGATATTTAGTAATCAAGTAAATATTTAAAAATAGATTTACAAATTACTTGGAATCCAGCTACTATCCGAGAGGGTTTACCAAGCCTTCTGTCTCACAATTAAGGTCTCGGGTAACCCCGGCAACGGGCCTTTCTGCCAATAGTAAAGATGGCATCCAGAAAGCGCTCATGTTTCCACACACCCCAATTACCCACAATGCAAAAGGAGTAGAGGGAGGAGCAGTGTCTGCCAGGAGTTAACATGGCTCCAATAGTTACACCGTACTCTCTCTTCACCTAGTCAGAGGTCTCACTGCGAAGACCAGTTTGCCAGGAAGAAATGAAATCCCCTTTATCTCTTCTCTACTGCAACTACAGAAGCAACTGAAGCGAGGCGACCCCCTTGTGAAGTTACAGTCCGTACCCACGGAAGCGCCACTTCCGCTGACGTCATCACGGCGACACGTGGATCCAAGATGGCGGCGGCGATGGTGAGTGAAGGAGACTCCGGGAACCGGAGCTGGAGCAGGGTCCCCTGGATAGCCCAGGACCTTCCGGCACCCTATGCCTGGTCCGCAGCCTCCTTCAGAACTCCTGCTCGGGTTACCCTTGACCGGGTTGTCCTCTCACAAAATCCCTTTCTCCAGCCGTGGCTTCCAGCTAGGCTTGTCAGGGCCTGGAGTTTTAGGGGAGGTGCCGCTTGGAAGGAAGACCTCAGCTAGTGTCTCCGCGGTTCTCATTGCGGTTTTCGTTCCCGCCCCCTTGTCACCCCTACTTCCCAATTTCCACCTCTTGGCCTTGTGTCATTCCGAGAATCCCCCGTTATTTCTACCTTTGCTCCTCCTCACGTTCAGACCCAGCTCTCCCCACATCCCCATCATCTTGACCAGTCTGCGGATGCTGCCTCGCTTCGAACCAGCCTCTTAGCCCAAACCCTGTCCTTAATGTACCCTCCGCTGTCCCCATAGCGCGCCCCGCTCGATTGCTGCTGTATCGCGTGCCCATCTTCCATCCCCGGGCCCTGCCCTCCTCCTGCCTTTCTGTCAAAACTCATTGCCTCTCCTAAAGTGTTTTTATCTGATTGGTTCTTAAACTTCACTGTTCATGGGACTCTTGGGCGGTGGATGAGGAGGCATGTTAAAATGCCGTTTCCTGAGCAAAAAGTGCAATTCCTTAGGGTTAGGCAATGCTCAGGAATCTACACTTTTACAAGCAGTCCTGTAATTATAATGGAGGTGGTGCCTGTGCTACCGTTTAAAAACACCTCTGGCCCTACCTGCCTGTATCCCCTCCCCATGCCATGCAGCTCCTCATAGATGAAGGCTCACTGTCACGAAGCTGACTAGAATTAAGTCTCTTTAGGCATGATAGTGGAGATAACAGAGCTATGCCTGGAAGGTGGGTCACAACTTGCTGGCTTCTGTTACGGAACCACAGAATTGTTTTCGAAGGACTTGCTTTCCTCTGAGAAGTTCAGCTCAAATTCTGTTTGCCAAGGAATAAGAACAAAGATCCAGAGTGAATTTTCCTGGGTGTTCCTGTATATTGCTTCCTCAGAAGATAAATTTTATTTCACCCTGGTAGTGAATGACGAGAAAGAGTCATGAGAAACAAGCGCTGGAACATTTGACTCTACCAAACGAAAATTCTTGCCTACGTGATTTGGTGTTGGTTTTCTCTAAACAGGGCCACATTAATTAACTGAAAGAATTCCCTTCTGTTAGCAGATTGCTAACTTATCTTCATTTTTTTTGTTGTTGTTTTAATGAAGAAAATTCCTTGTTTACAAACTCAGGAGTCAGGTGAAAGATTTCATGGCTTGGAGGAATGTAGCTCATTGATAGTGTACTTGCTGAGCCTGCACAAGAACCTGAGTTTCATCTCTGGCACTGTTTATGGGGCGGAAATGTCTTGAAGCTTTAGCTGGTTTCTAGGCCTCAGGCTTCAGTCTGAATCAATGAAGTGGGGGCAAATCCCGGGAGTGGAATGTTGAGCCCTTTTTCTCCTTTACCCTTTAAGAACAAGGTTGATTGGAGGACAGGAAGTCACACTCTTCTTGGTCATAGAGAGTTCAATAAAGTGGCATTTATAGCACTGCACTGGGAAATTTCAGCCCTGTACAGAGTTTTAAGAGATTGTACGTTAGCAATATGTATTTCTAGTGTGCATTTATTTAATCAGCAAATATTTGAGTGCCCAGTTAGTGCCAGGAACTAGGTGTATAATTGTCAGAGAGTCAGGGTCCCACCCTTGTGGAGCTTCTCTCATTCCAGGAAACCTTCAGTGAGCAGTACCCCAGTAGAATAATGTCTGGTGGTGCCATGTGCTTTGCAGACAGCAAGGTGAAGTGATTGGTGGTGACATAAATGTGACTGAGTGGCAGAATCTTCTCAGAGAATGTGATATGAATTGAAGCTCAGTTCATCACAAAGAACCAGCCTTGCAAAGAACGGCCCAGGCCAAAAAAAAAAAGGCAGGTGTGAAGGCCAGGTGGTATATTTAAGGAATATACAGAAGACTAGAACACCAGAAACATGGGGAAGGGTGGGGTTGGAGACAGATAAAAAGGTTTTACACATGTACCTGTGATTGGGTGAGTTGTAGCTCACAGTTTGCAGTCTGTGTACTGTATTTTGAAATAAATTGTTCTATTGGGCTCCTGTCACTTCCTTAGGGGAACACATTAAGGGAGCCAGCTTGTTCTTAGTGCACAAATGGGCCATGGAAACTAGTTTAATGCATTTCAGTAAATGGAGAATGCAGCGCCTAGGAGACAGAAGAGGGTAGATCTCCTTGAGTTCAAGGCCAGCATGGTCCAGTAAGTTCCAGAAGAGCCAGGACTACATAGAGACCCTGTCTCTAGATAGATACATAGATAGTAAATGGAGAATGCGTTGTATGCAGAGACCAGTTTAAAAGATACACAGAGACTGCATGCTCCGTGAAAAGGCACAGAAGCAAGTGTGTGCAGAGGTGTATGTGGAGTCACCGGTACATGTGAAGTTGGTCTGTGCCAAGCACATTACTACACGAAGTCAGAACTGTCCCCACGCCCTCATGCACGTAAGTTATTTCACAACCATTTTGGGTGGGGCATATAGATCCAATTTGGGGTGGATCAGCTTCTGAGGCAAGTCATGTAAAGAGGAACTTAACTAGTGGACTCAGTGGCCATGTGAACAAGCTGGGGTTTGGGCAGGCTGTTTGCTTTGAAAGTTAGAGTTGTGGATATACAGTTCAAGGGATTTTCCCCTCTCTTTCATGAATGATTCTTCCCCAATTGTGCAGATGCTACCCAGGACTGCTAAGCACAACAGTGTTTCCTTAGTCTGTGGCTATAGGGAAAGGAAGGCAGGAGTTTGCCTGCTGCCCTGGATTTAGACCACCTTATAAAGTTACAGGATAGAATTCATCAGGCTGGGTCAGAATTGAGAAGCAGGCTCATATTTCATTACAGAAAACTGCTCTTGGGAATATTTTAATCGAACTTGGAAAATGCCCATTGAGTACATTCATAGGCATATAATACTCTATTTTCCTTATATATCCCCTCCCTCACACTGTGTCAGCTTTTGTTATGGTTTTATCTCTGTGGATATAATTCATATATCACAAAATCACCTTTTATTAAAAGACCTTTTCAAATTTTATGTGTTTGCCTGTGTGCATATATGCGCACTGTGTGCATGCCTAGTACTTAAGGAAATTATAAGAGATTGTTGGAACTGGTTGTGAGTCACATTGTGGGTTCAGGGAAGCAAACACAGGTCCTCTGCAAGGGCAGTGAATGCTTCTAACACTGAGCTCTTTTAAAGTTCACAGTTCAGTGGGTTTGGTGTATTTAGAGGATTACTGTTTAATTCTAGGACATTTTCATCAACCTAAAAAGAAGCATTCATAGTCATTCCCAGGCTTTGCTCCCCCTAGTCCCTGGCAACCGTTGATCTTCTGTGTCTCTGAGGACCTACCTTTCCTCATTTCGTATAAATGAGGTTTTTCTTACCTAGCTGCTTTTACTTTCCCATGATACTTTCAAAGTTCATCCATGTTTTATGTGGCATCCCTAGTATTTATTCTTCTTTTTAAATGATTAAGCCATTCTGTTGTATGGATAGACCACAGTTTCTTTCTCCCTTTAACTGCTGAGTAGGACTGTCTCTTGTATTAGTTGTTTGGAACACTACTACCAGGAACTTTGTGTGCATTTTTACATAAACATGTTTTCTGTATTCTGAGATACATGCCTGGGTCAGTTAATCCTGTTTTGAAGAGTTTATTCAATATAGGACAGAGTAATGGACTGACTGACACCAAGGTTCCTTAGAGCCAGTAGAGGCAGTGCTAGTAGGGCAGTTGGACGGAAGTGTCCTGGAACAGGAGGCAGGAAGCTCCTCTGACTCTTAGTTTCATGTGGTGGCAGCTGCTGTCTCCTTTGAGCTTTCAGAGCATCAACCAGCACTGGAGTAGGAGGTAACAGTAATACGTTGTAGTACAGTCATTGCTTTCATGTGTGGCCTGGCAAATGGACTTGGATTTCTTGGTCTGTTCTATGTATATATCATATGTGGCATTAATATTTGAACTTCACTTGGAGGTGGTGGCACATCCCATAATCCCAGGACTCAGGAAGCAGAGGCAGGTGCATTTCTGGAAGTTCCAGGGCAGCCTGGACTCTATAAAGATCTGCTTAAAAATATTTTTTTGGACTCCATGATTTGTAAGTTCCTAGTGGAAAGTCCTGCATTGAATACTTAAAATGAAGCTACTTTTGCTAATGTACTGTGCAGTTGGATTTGTTTTGTGCTTATCACCATTCTTGTGCTCCCTACAGGGTGTTGTGTTGGGAATATTTTCTGTCTGGTTCCTTGAGTAGCCTCACCTGGCACATATTCTGCAGGAACCACTGTGTCCTGGGAACTGAGTGCTTGTACCAAGTCCTGGTTAATGTGTTTCTCTGAACAGTCTCCCAAAGGAGACCCTCAGCCCACAGGAAATGCAGGGGAGATGGCCGTTAGTTGCCTCTTGGTCTCTGTTTTACAACTTGGACAAAAGGTCCCCTTTGATCTTGGAATTAAAGAAGCAGGTTGCAGAATGTTGGAGAACGTTGAGTTTTGATCTCTGGGCACTGGCAGGGAGGTGGGAAGGACCCAAGATGAGCAGGGCCATCTGGCCACAGATGGATGGTAGGGGCCGTTACCTTCTAACCTGCTTTGATCCCTGAACCATTTGTT